CCTCCTTTACATGCTCCCTTTTCCGCCCGGCATAATTTATCATGCAGCCGACGGCTGTAGAATGTGAAGTCTACAATGCCTCCTATTCTATTCTTGCTATTCCCGAGCATCTCAGATTGGCTGAATATGTGGAGTGTTAAACAACTACCGTCTTCACCCGAATATGACGCCCTGTCATTACATCTGTATTTGGCACAACTTTCAGCCCAGATACGGCGATAACTACCGGACGTTCAATTCGGGTGAAGATGGTAGTACATGGCCACAACCAACTTGAGAATCACGACTGAATCACTCCGAAAAAGTCTGAGGCTCGGGGCAAGCGGACCAAAATGACTGGTGGCACCGGCCAAAACAAAAACAAAAACGCGGTGCTGGCATTTCGGCAAAGCGTGGCGTGCAGGGCGGTTTGTGGCTCGTGAATTCATTAGCCTTGGATGTACTGGTGGTTGGGGCAGCCGTTTATCGCCACACATATGATGCTCGAGAGCAAGGAGGTAAAGTTGGGAGCAAGTTCTGTAGCAGACGATCTGCGTAGGTGGCTTCAGGACCTCGTGTTGCAGAAGCAGAAGTTCCCCATGATGTGGTGTTCTTTGTTTTTATGTTGGGTAGGACATTTATCTTAGGATAGGCTCAAACTGGTTGGGGATTATGTGGATGCATCTGACTAGAATTGCCACCAAGTAATTTGTAGTGTGAGTGTGTGCCGAGAACAGCTCACTCGTTGTGGAAGACCTGCAGCCTGCCATCTTCACCTGAAAATAACGCCCGGGCGTTATATTCAACTCACCCTAAAAATATCGGATAGAACACCTGGGCTTTATATTCGAATAGAACACCCGCTCTATTGTATTCGAATAGAACACCTGGGCATTGATATTTGAATAGAATGCCCGGGCATTATATTCGAATCGAACGCCCGGGCTTTATATTCGAATGTTCCATGGCAGAGTGCCTTGTACAGGTAGTATACATGGGTTTTGAAGGGTGGGAAGGGGGGGGTATGCATGGGTTTTAAAGGGGGTTGAAAGGGGTTTTGACTTCCAAGGGGTATATTTTGGTTTGATTTGTTAATTTTATTCTTTATTTCCGAGTTTATAAGGAATTCTGAAGTGACCCTCAACCAAAAGTTGGTCGCATTGCAATACTGGACAACATTTTTTTTTTTAAACAGAATTTTTGGATCTTGTTTTTGTGAATTTTGAGGCCCCACCGAAGTTGCCACTCGTTTACTGAATATAACGCCCGGGCTTTATATTCGTATACAACGCCTGGGCGTTATTTTCGGGTGAAGATGGTAGCGACCGTCTTATGTTGCCCAGGAGGATGCCATTGGTAATGACAGTGACGATGGCGATATGTTCATGAGAAGGCTGACAATGATGTTGGTGACCGAGTGCTAGTCGTGGTTGATAGTGATTATATGTTGATGATGCTCCAGATGATGATGACGAGGAACATGGTGGTGGTGAATTGTGTAATCAGGTCGAGGAGTTGGCAGATATTGCGAGGTGTGGTGCACGTGTTCTTCCCACAGATGTGGATTGGGAACAAGAATGCTCCACATGCATCTCAGACGTGGTGGAAATCATTGAAGACCGATCTACGCAAAGTCAAGTTACAACAACTTTTGGCGAGCGGATCTTGGCCTTGCTAGAGTGAGAACATGTTCCCTCTCCCTTGACTAACTGGGAATAGTCCTTTACTCACCGGCTATGAACTGGTTGGCGTTGGCATTTTCCAAACTGTGCAGCAGCAAGTGTGTGTGTGTGTGTGTGTGTGTGACCAAAGGTTTGCGGAGCACAATTCCAAGTATCCGGGTATGGTGGCCCAGTGGAAACATCCAGGAGGCTCGAGGACCTTGAACGATGTCTCCCAAAATAAATCAGTACATTGTGTGTGTGTGTGTGTGTGTGTGTGTGTGTGTGTGTGTGTGTGTTGGAGAGGGTTTTGGGTTTTGCGGGTACTGGCACAGGTAAACATAAAATGATACGGGATAACCTCGACACATAGATCCACTACATAGCCAGCAAGCCCGAAGTTAACCCAAGCCCAAATTCATGTCACAATTTAAATGTGCTGAAAGCTACATATCGACTATGGAAACCTGGGCCATGAAGGCTAGGTCCACTGTATTGGTATAGTACCAAATGGAAAAGGAAACCCCACACTACTACGGAGTCTTTGCTCACTATGATCCCACAAGACTGCTGTTGGTTGTTTACAATGGTTCGAAGGGTGTGACGCTTTCTGTGTGACTATTCAGACAATGAGGTCTAGGACCGGGATAATGTCTTGTGATCACAACCACCGTGTACTTCTTATGAAAGAGGCTGAACAAGTGGCGAGCTCCACATTGAGCAAATCCAGGTCAGTGGATTACTAATGGGAAGAATCCATGTCAGTGGATTACTTGTGAAGCACTGTTGGTTGTGGAGCAGTGGTGGCAGCCTTCAGTGTGTCTATGTTGCAGAAAGCAGACGTGTGTGTACTCTGTTTAGATATCAATGGTCGGTTGCAACGCTGGTGCTACGAGTCTGCATAACCACGATGCCGTGGTATGCATATGTGGGTTGATGTACCACATGCCACATCGCCCATTGTAATCCAGTGGAGCACAACCCTGGACACAGCAGAGGTTAATCAGTGCTGGTTGCGCAGGTTAACTTACTGTAGTGGGTATTGGGCCGGAAGAAGAACTGATGGATGGGAAAGTCGAGCTTTCTTCTTGCCGTTTTCAATAGCCATTATTCTGCTTTTGCCAGTTGGCGATTGGAAAGGGGATGGACAGTTACTCACCAGCATGCTGTGCGGGCGAAGGTGTCTGCTGCCTATTGTATCTGTGCATGTGGGGATTAGTCTGACATGTGAAGGCTGGATTGTGTGCATGCTCTTTTGTGTGTGTGCGTGTGTGTGTGTGTGTGTGTGTGTGTGTGTGTGTGTGTGTGTGTGTGTGTGGTGGGGATGGTTCCTCTTGCACTCAGAGAGAAACTGGAGCTTCTTCAAGCTGAGAACAAGGGGGAGCAGGAGCTTCAACTCAGTGCTGAAGTTGAAGGCGTCATGAGCATGAATGAAGAGGATGGGATACGCAGTGGTCGCACCACGCCAATGCACACACCCTTACATCTGAAGGATCGAACCACTATTGATGATTTTGAGATACTTAAGCCCATAAGGTCAGGACTGAACTTTTTGCTCTTGGTACCTTTGTCTTAATGTCGTGCAATCTTATTTTGCATGAGAAACATGTGTGTGTGTGTGTGTGTGTGTGTGTGTGTGTGTGTGTGTGTGTGTGAGAGAGAGAGAGAGAGAGAGAGAGAGGTGGTTGTGGATGAGGTAACAGTCTAGTTCATTACAGTGAAGAGGCAGGGAAGTGGGCAGCAATGTGATGGGAGAGGGACATTATCTGAGAGCGAATGAGCGAGGGTTTCAGGGAACAGAGAGGGGAATAGGTGACAGAGTTGTCAGGCAGATGTGAATTGTGCTTTGAATGCATGTTGTGGTGAGCTGAGGGGAAGAATATGTATGATGGCTTTTCATGAGCAGTGAGAGGAGGTGGCCTACCTCCAGGTTGAGAGTCCTAAAGTGGTAGACTGGTCTTTGTGAAACTAACTGAATGACCAAATTTTGTGTATTGCAGCCGTGGTGCGTATGGGAGGGTATTCCTGGCAAGGAAGAAAGCTACGGATGATCTCTTTGCAATAAAGGTAATGTACTATGGCACCCTATCAATGCCTATCACTTACACGAGTTGTCCTTGAGGGTGGAGGTGGGTGTCCAACTTTGGTTTTCCGTAGTCTGGGTCTGTATATTAAAGGCCAAGCGGATTCTGTGGATTTTCGAGGGACCAGCCTTCTGATGGGCTGGTGAGACTCTTGAAGAGAGTCTCCCCAGGACCCCTTTCTTGTGAATAGCTACATCGTCGCCGGCTCATGCTCTTGAAACCTTTCCCCCTCTTCCAAGTTCAAAATGCATCTCTCTGATCATCATCTTCCTGTTTTCCCCATATTCTCTCAGGTCTCTCTCTCTCTCTCTCTCTTTCTCTCTCTCAAGTAATTTTGAGGTATTGTTACATCCCCTCCAGGTCAGTCTCTTTGGCCTCTACCGGTCCTCAGCATGTTTGACTGCCACAAGTTCTCCTTTTCCATGCTCCTGCTTTCATTCATTCTGTCTGCTTGTTCCCTGCCTTCCTTGCGGTCCTTGCATCCATAAGCTTTTGCCCACATGGTTTCTTTGACCTCTTCTCCTCCCACGTGTCTCTCGACTGCCCTGAAGTGTAACACTGCCTGCATGCCAGCCTTCAGCTACATCAGCCCTATGCTGAATACCACACTGCCATGGATTAATTTGGCCAAATACATGGCTGCATACCCTGACAGTCAACGGCGCTAGACTGGTCGGATGCCGACCAGCCGACTGGTTGGCTGGTTGGCACCAACCAGAAGGGGGTTGTCGGCACCCCGCAAAAAAAAAGATAATTAATAAAAAAATGTTTTTTTTTGTTTTTGGGTCCAGAACCCCTACTAACCCCACCAACACCCCCATGCCCGCCCCAGTACCCCCATGCACCCCCCCAACACCCCCAAACCGCCCCCCAACACCCTCATACCCCCCACAATACCCCCTATACCACCCCTATATCCTCCTATACCCATACCCCCCCTCATCCCCAAAGTTTCTCAGCGGATTTGGGCTGTACTCAGTAAGCGCAGTACAGCCCCCAACTCAAATTGGAAAAAAATCAGTGGATGGCTGTTTTCTGTCTGGTCGGCGGTCGTCCCTACTGGTCGGCTGCAACACGGTCGGCGGTTGAGGTAGGCGGTCGGCGGGTATGCAACCCTGCCTAAATAAATAAATAAATGTGGCTGTACATCTGTGTAAGCCATTGCCCATCATAATGGCTTGTTCTCACCTGCTTCGAAGTTATCTGCACCAGATGAAACATATCATAGCAGCTGCTTTATCCACTACTCCATCTCCCTGCACCGTTTGTATGTCTAGTCTACAAGTACCGGGCCAAAATCTACGGTGTCCAGGCTTGGTGGCACAGTTACTTTTCCTCACGGCGGCACTGTGAATCTTATGCTAGGGGAAAAGCAACTTTTGGTATGTCAAAATAGCTCCGGATGGAGTGGTGGTTTGATGGGCCAAGGTGCTTGTTGTCCATCCGGTCTGTGATGAATTTGGTATCGGCACATCTGTGCACACTGGACGCTGGTTGCATTTTCACGACCACTGCAAGCTGAACGCTCTTGCGATTCGCTTGGTGGGGTGACCCTGAGAGCCTAACGAAAGCGATGGATTCACAATATCTGGGGTGAGTCTGGGCCTATGTGAAGTCTGCAATGATCAGGTGGTAGTCTGGTGCTGTCCTGTGTGTTGATTGATATTTCTGTGAGCTTGAATCCCTGCCAGGTTAGAGGTTGCCGATCGGCCGCCGCAGTAGGATATTTTCGACTTATTGTCTCTCTCCAAAAAGCATCTGAAGGCTGTCGTTGCAAATATGTGTACGCATGTCTGTTGGCTGTTCAAGGGCTACACCGCAGTAATTCACACCAGATGGTAGGGGTTACTGAAGGACGGGAAACTGTGGCCCGGCGTACGGGAGTCTCCTCCCCCCCTCAAAAAAAAAAAAAAAAAAAAAAAAAGAAAGGTTCTGGTATATTTGTAGGTAACTGTACCTGCTGGAAAACAGATTCAGCATTCCGCAGTGGTGCTATGTGCGTTCCTTCTCGGATAGAAATCAACACCAGTGTGCCTGGGCCTAACAGAAAACCATTGCTAAGCAAAAAAAAACGGAGTCAACATCCCTCCCTGTCGAGGTATGATGAGTGAGAAGTTGAGAACCCTAACCCTTACCCCTATTCTTCACTCTGTCATGATGGAGGACACTCTGATGGATGCTCTTGTAATAGTTTGTGTGGAATGCACTTTTTCTAATACCTATTACGAGCATCAATCTTTAACCGTGCAAGCAGTGTTGCACGCGCTTACCGTCGGCGATCCCTGACTGGTTGGCTGCCGACCCGCCGACCGGTCGGCTGGTCGGCACCTACTGGTCGGGGGTCGTCGGCACTCCGCAAAAAAAAAAAAAAGAAAAAAAAAAGATTTTTTTTTGGGTCCAGAACCCCTAATAACCCCACGAACACCCCCATACCCACCCCAAATACCCCCATACACCCCCCCAACA